ATACACCACCCCAAAAGCTAGCATAAGTCCAGGAAACAATCTCTTTGCAATTATGCAAGGGTAAGGCTGCGTATAAGGATTTCCTCCACTCCACACTCGCTAGTCGGGTTTAACGGGGAGTGGTTTAATGTTTTTTTTAATACTAATGGTTGCATCTCAATTAAATTGTTCGTGACAACTTAAAAGCATTTTTCTCCAAGATGCAAGTTATTTCCAAATCCATCCAATCTAGTGATCACTTGGCCAGTTTAATGACTCCAATGCTATCTGGCACTTAGGTTGTGGTTTAATTAAGGGCATTATATGCTTCAAGATATAATGACAGCCTTCAGTGGAACAATATGCACACATTTCCAAAAACAGATTCATGGCAAGCTTTTTAAAGCACTGTAATTCAGCATGTCTGAGGAGACAATGTCTTTGTATTTAATGGATTGGGGGGAAGGGAGAAAAATAAATTTTCTTAGGTTCTCCAGGTTTGTTTCTTCAAAAAAATCTCAACAACCTAAGATCCTTGATCCCTACCCTAGTAAGGGCAAACTACATTGATCAAGAAAAGCTGATTGCAACAGCAATTGTTAAAGTGAGTTGGTTGAGCTGCGTGCTCCCCAAAATTAATTATTAAAAACAGATAAAATCCTTTTCAAAGCCAAGCCATTTTCCTTAAAGCTTATGCAAGACTATAAAATTGAAAGGAATATGAAAGATTTTCCGGCACACAAACAATCCTTCAGGCTAAAATTTCATTAGGTAATTGGAACCAGAACTGCAATATGAATGCCATATTTAGGAATAGGGCTATTCTGTGCCTTCCTATAACATAAAAATGCAGTCACCGCACTGAGCTGATTTACTATCCATAAAATTCACAACAGGCATATCTTTTTTTCAGTTATTCATTTTCCTGAGATTCAACACAGCTTATGCCCAAACTGTTATGCACCCTGAATTAACTAAATCTAAAAGCACAAGATGACTATAAGAATTTCTATATTATTTCACAAGGTGAGCATGGTCAGTTAACTTCTACAAGCTCTGTGAAGCTAGCTATATTTGTAACAAGCTTGGATCATATCATGTGTTCCAACATGAGTGAGAGTTTTGAGATACTAACTTAGTTTGACTTGATTACTACATATTTGGGAATTGGGAGTTATGCAATATTACTCTCTCCACCCTAGATATACTGAGGGATAAAACATTCCAACAGAAGGACCACAGAAAGAGCTTCATCTAGTATCCCTGTATACACTATACAGTTCTAAACACTGATATACACCTATTTTTAAAAACGTAAAGATGAAGCACTCACTAACAATTCTTTGTTATATATATCATCTTCAATGAAAATTTGCAAGTGAAACAAAAACAATCTCTTCAAGTGATCACAACAAAATGCTATTCATATTCCACAGTATTGATCACCCCTAAATATTTACAGCAACTTTACAAGAGAAATTTGGCAGTGTAGGTCAGATGTGTGAACACATAATGAAGAAAAAAAGAAGCAATTTTAGGAACAGATTTGAATCAAAATATAACGAACTGAAATGGGTTAAAAGGGGGTTTTGATTTTTACCAAGTAATGATATGGGGTTTGGGAGAGAAGAGAGTGAGAGGAGAACACTTGTGTTGAGATCGGATCTGGTAATCTCTGAGTTGCTCCACAAGTTTAGAACGAGTTATCATCTCAATGGAACGAAGGGTGTAACCCTTTTAACACCTTCACCCGCAACCGCTAACAAAAACAAACACAACCCATTCGCGAATCCAACAGAGGATCTTTTGCGTTTTAGCGGCTGAAGAATTTACCATGAGAAAGGAACCCAGCAAATTTTTATAACATTATTATTTTTATTTTATTCTATTTATGTCTTACAATTACTTTACTTTTTAGTTTTATATTTGAATTTATTTTTTAATCAGTTGTGGATGTAAAATTTACTTCTCTTTTTTGTAGATTGTAAAATTTCTTTAGTAATGTACCTTCGAGGAAATATTTTTTGTGAATCCGGATCGCCATTTATTTAGTGAGAAAAACGGCAAAAACAATTTATCTATTGTTTTTTAAATAACAAATTTTAAATAAAAAATTACAAATTTAGGATAGTTTTGAAAATAATTACACATTTATTGTACAATATTACGCCCAATCTGGGCATGACCAATCACGCTTAATTTAGGCGTCACTAAAGAGGCAGTCACGCTTAATTTAGGCGTCACTTATCAGGTGTTGACATGCATCACATTTTTTTTTTGCTAAAAAAAATTAATAATTTAATCGTAAAACTTCTGAATGCCATAACTTTTGATTCAGGTATCCAAATCAGGTAATTCTTTTATTGATTCCACATAACTTTTCGAGATTTACGCAATGACATCTCATTTGATATATTTTCTTTCTCACAAACACAATTTAAATTTGCAAGAATGGTATTATAAGAGCGGTTAAACCCAAAAGACTCTGAGTTCTGAGTTTGTGATTTAATATAAAAAAATAAATAAAGATTTAATTTGTGATTTAAATTAAAAATAAAATAAAATAATTATTAATAAGCAAAACAAAAAAAAAGATTTGATTTGTGATTTAAACTCAAAAATCAATTTAAAAAATCTGTATTAATAAAGGAAATAATTAAACAAATATTCTAAATCTATAAGGAAGAAGGATTTTATTTTTGAAAAACATTCATAAGCCATTATTAATTTCAGACCACGAATAATAACCCAGAAGCTTATAGCATTAATCATTATTTTCAAAAATAAAATCCTTCTTTGTCCAAAAAAAAAAAATCCTTCTTCTTTAGAGATTTATAATATTTTTTTTGGAAATACAGATTTAGAATATTTATTTAATTATTTTTTTTATTAATACAGATTTTTTAAATTAATTTTTGAGTTTAAATCACAAATCATCTTTATTTTGTTTTCCTTATTAATAATAATTTTTTATTTATTTTTAAATTAAATCACAAACCAATTTTTTTTATAATAAAAAAATTTCTTTTTTTAAATTTAAATCACAAACCAAATCTTTATTTATTTTTTTATATTAAACCATAAACTCAGAACTCAGAGGCTTATGGGTTTAACCGCTCTTATAATACCATTCTTGCAAATTTAAATTGTGTTTGTGAGAAATAAAATATGTCAAATGAGATATCATTGCGTAGATCTCGAAAAGTTATGTGAAATCAAAAAAAAAGAGTTACCTGATTTGGATACCCGAGTCAAAAGTTATGGCCTTAAGAAAATTTATAATTAAATTGTTAATTTTTTTTTTGATTTTTTTTTGCCTGATACAAATCTATCAAAACGGCAGAGAGAACACGATGTGTGTCTAAAAAAAAAGAAAAAAACATTTTTTTAAAATAAATAGCATCTCTTGAATGAAAGGATCAGATGATTCGGGTGTACTAAAAATGTTCTGATGCCTTACATATCATTAAAAAAACAGTGCAAAAGTTTTTATACTAAAGTAAATAAGAGTTGTTTACCAAAAAAAAAAAAGGTAAATAAGAGTTACACTCTTTATTATTTGGGATTAGTATTTCTCTTTTTAAAAGATAAAAAATTATATTATTTTAATCAAAATTACTGTATTTTATAGTGAGAGAAATAGAAATTATGGTAGAAAAAAATGAGAATTTTTTTAATTTAAATATTAAATAAAGAGGAAGATTATAGGAAAAAATATTTGCTATTTTTAATGAAACTACGTCATTTTGGTAAGTTGTTACATTTTTTCTCCTCTATTTTTTATTTCGAATTTTATAAATTAGAAAAAATGTCTAAACACACCAAAACGACGTAGTTTCATTAAAAATGACATAAAATTGTGTCACTTAAAATGATAAATATTTTTTCCTAGATTATATTTTTACCATTTTAGCCTTATTACTCTTACTACCTGATTAGTTATCGTTATATCAATTTAAAATCAACCGCAATTAATTTTTTTCTATTTTTAACCGTTGATTAAATTGATCTAACAATAACTAATCAAATAACAAGACTAAAATAATAGTTAATATAACTACCCCTTAAATAAATATTAATTATTTTAACTAAGATGATTGTCGTTTAATTTTTCCTTATTATTTTCAATTGAATCTCTCCATTTGGCCGAGTACTTATTGATTTATTGTGTATTTTTATAGTCAAAACGTTGGTTAAATTAAATAATTTAACGCACATTTGCATTACACAAGAACTGAAATCTCTCATAGAATTATATAAATATATAAATCTTAAGATAAATATTTGTATTAGAAAAAAAAAGAACAATTTATATAATCATGTATTATTATCTAAATCACATGGATAAATACTATTACAGAAATATAGAAAAGAAAAAAATATTAATATTCAAATTATATAAACACTATTTGTATTTTATTTTATGTATAAGTTGTGTTTTTTTTTTTTTTAACATGTATGAGTTGTATTTAAATATATTTACTCGAGTTTAATTATGTAAAAACAAATGTCGAACTCGCAAAGATGTCGTGTACTTTATCCTTATTAACAATACATCATATACTTAATGTAAGCTCGAAAGGTCAGTAATCCATTGTCGTCCAGCGGTTAGGATATCTGGCTTTCACCCAGGAGACCCGGGTTCGATTCCCGGCAATGGAAATTATATTTAATTTTTTTTCTCATGTTTTTCATTATTGTTGTTAAAGGTCTTATTCTAGAATTATTATCTATTCCATTGCAGGTAACTGTAAGCCAATAGGCCCAATAATATGGGTGATAGTGCATCAGTGGCCCGTTACTAACAAGAAAGAATATCTATAAGCTTGAACATTCATACCACCAACCATTTTTATGGGTCAAGACAGTTATGCTTGCTTTCAATACAAAATTATACTGATGATGTGTAACAAAAAAAAAAAAAAAGGAAGAAAATTACACATCTTGAACATAATTGGCATACATGTTGCTTAGCTATCAGGGTACACAACTCTGATTTGTCTCAAATATTATACTGGGTCTGTTTGTTTGTTGACATTTAATCAACTGAAAATTCTTGAGAAACCAAAGTGAAAACACATATCAATATTGAGATGGCAAAGAATATGGTGCAGCCATTGTATAGAGACTTCTACAAGGAATACATCATATGGTAAAATTTAAATATATTTATATTTTCTTTGTTTGAATGAAAATGGACAAATTGGTAAACCATATCACCAGTCTATAAAGGCAAAACACACCTAAGATTGATGGCAGATATTTTCAAAACCCATATACACTTCATTTTCCATCTTCTCAAGTATATTCTCTATTCCCACCCCACCTGTTATATATACCCAAAAAGAGGAAGTGAGTATGTTTGATAAAGAAACTAATCAACAAAAAACAAAACACATGAAACGAAGGAACAGAATGCCAAGACTTCAAACTAAAATCAAGGAAAGTACCTAAACTGATTGCGCTCACAAAAATGGTGAATGCTAGAATGAAGATAATGATGGATGCTCGACCAAGGATAGCAACTATTTTTCTCACCACATGCTGGCCAGTTAATGCAGCTATGGTTGCAACCAGAACAAAGTAAGCAGCTGCATCCCCACAAAAAATTAAATAAAATAATAATTAGTAAGTTACACAACTTTTAATGCTAAATTAGCAACAAAAAGACTAAAAATTCCGAAGTATAGAGCAACTAATTAAACACCCACTTGTTGTTCGTGAAATACAAAATGCTAAAGAAAAGATATGGCAATTTACATTGGCTTTAGTATGAGTTTCTCTTATCTGCTAGTGTATTCAGGAATGATTTAATTAGTTCTATTTATTGCTTCTTACCATAAGGTACAGGGAAACGATCTAGAAGGTAATATTGTACCACTGACATGGAGGAAGAGAAAACCATAGCAAAAGTTGATGTAGCACTAACTACCTGCCACAGAGGACACACATTCATCAATGCTATATTTTCATGTCTGATTTTTCTGTGAAACCTAAAGACTAGTAAGTGCTAAAGAATGGATGAGTCTATACCTGAGGAGGAATTCCCAATTCCAGAAAGAGTGGTCCCAAAATGAAGCCACCTCCTAGACCAAGCAGTCCACTAACAATACCAGCTATTATTCCACAAGAACAGTAAAGACAGATCTTATGAAACTTCCAATCTGTGATTTCCTTTCCATTTGATGCAATCACTCTAGTTCCTTTGTATAAGCATATGGCTTCATAAAGTGTAACTGAGATCGCAATAGGCACCTTAAAGTAATAAATAGGCATAATAAATTTCATTTAGACCTTAATGGGAAATGCAATTATGTAAGTTGCAGCAAAGATATGCAATTTTGTCCAAAACTATTATTTAGAATAGGGGTAGGATATTGTAACAACCAATTAGTGTTACTACGAATGTTACTACCAATCAATTTCATCGTTAGATCGATTATCGATTATATTATTTTCATCTTTGTATGGTTATCCAAAGGTGAAAATAAATATAAAATATTAAATATGGGGAATCATAACCATACAAAGATGGAAATAAATATAATCGTTAGATCAACATAATCGATCTAACGGTGAAATTGATTGGTAGTAATATTGGTAGTAACATTAATTGGTTGTTACAATATCTTTCCCCTTTAGAACAAAACTTTTGTTATGAATTCCTACAGTTGCAGTCACACTGCAAATTGTGCCTTTTGTTCTGGGTTTGTTAACTTTGCCAAAATGTTGTATAAGTCAAACAACTAGAAATCATTGCTGAAACCCATATGATCGTAGTAGTATCCAAATATATATGTAGAATCTTTACCTGCAAGGAATTAAGAACCCAGTACTGGATGGAGCAAGTTTTGCTGTATGTCTGCATGGAAATACATAAAAGATGCTTATTAAGTAAACAAAAGTTTTGTGGGATTGAGCACTTATCACAGAAAAGAAACCCCCAGTGTCAAGTGGGGAGTCAAACCCATAACCTTGCTCTAATACCACTTGTTACATCAAGTGTTTACTACTACCAAAAGTTATAGCTAATGGTTTGTTTCTTAAAGTTTTTCAAACTTTCATCAAGTTTAAGGGCTTATACCCATTATAGGTGCCATAAGGACTAAATAAAGCCAACAAATATAAAACCAAGATCCCCAGTCTAAGCCAAAATTTATGTTGAAGCAACATATCTCCAAAGTAGCATGAATTTATTGCAAGGATTGGTTTCATTGACCACAGGATCAAAGAAAAAGAATGTCCCAAATAAGTTACGTATTCTAGTGACAGCACCTTTCCCTTACTTCAGATTGAATACACAGATCTCAAAATCCACAAGCTGCATATTTGTGACAAATAATGAATCAGAAAAAACAAACAAAATATAATTAATAGCTTAACTACCTTAATAATCTGAACAACGAGAAAAGCCACCCAGACATACACAAGGAGTAATAATTCTTTCCAGTAAATGTTCTTTAGTAAAGGGACCTGCACAAGAGAGTTTAACACAATGTATAAAGCTAGACAAAACTAAATAAACTTCCTACGATAAATGATTTGAAAAACCCTTGGAGTTACCTCCTCATCTCGTTGATCAACTGAATCACTTGGTAGTGATTTGTAGTCTTCTTCAGAAGCATCTGCGATAAGGGCAAGTGCAATAGTGTCCCAACAGTAATATTAGAGAGATTTTCTACTTGATCTTCCAAATGTTAATTAAGAAATAAATGTGTTCATAAATTCGTATATCTTATTATTGCAATGCTTTCTTCTATATTTTCTGTATTAATCTGCTTCTTGACATTTTCAGATTTGCAGTAATCTTGTATATAGTTGCTGAAAGGTTTCTCTATATTTTATAGGATCATATGTAGGGACTTACAGCCAGGATTAGAATCTGATTCCAACAGCTTGGCTGCTTCCTGAAAGTTAAGTAGCATAGTACCCTTAGTTGAAGACAATGGAGAATCAACTTCAAAATTTTATGAAGTGTATAAAGGAAAATTTACCTTTTTCATTATTGTTTCCTTTTTCCATGTATCTATGCCTTTGAATAAAGCTTTTGTGGATGTAGCTACCACCGATTGATTTCGTTAACAATCAAACAAATTAAAAATAAGGTATTCAGAATAGAACATAAATAAATCATGTCAGTTGCAGCATAAGCTGGTTATTAAATCTTGAAAAATACAATAACTTATACGTAATAAGTTGGCCACAAAAGATAGATTAATAATATTTCCTTTTCGAGAAATTTTCTTTTAAAATAAAATATGAAGGAATCTATTTGAAAACACACGTTTTCTTCCCAAAACACAGAAACACAAGAACATTTTCACAAGAAGGAGCGAACCTGCATACAATATGAGATTGCCTCAGGAAAATTTAATTAATTCAAAAGATTGAGCTTATGCTAAAAAGATAATGTTTACCAATGAATAGGATGATAAGCAAAACCGTCACCATCCAATCTGCAAACATAACATTAAATGCAACACCAATGCTTACTCCTAACATTAGCATAGGCTGGAAGAGCAAAGCCAGATCATAATCTATAAGTGGTATGTCTAGTGTTGGGTGTCTTAGCCTCAGATTGTAGTACACAGTTGACCCAGCTGCTCCCATGATCATACCTGCGATTATGAAATATCAACTAAATATGGAAAATTCAGAAATTAAATGAAGTTGCATTAAACCAACCTAATGTATGCGAGGGTAAGGGTGTGAGTGTATGCAGTCTTACCCTTACATACTTACAAAGAGATTGTTTTTCATACTTGAACCCATGACCTTTCAATCCTAACGAGCAATCTCGTTGCTCCTAGGCTCACCCACTCATACTTACAGAGGAAAATTGAGTTCTTTTGTGATAAGAAAACTATATTTCTCTTTAATAGCTAGGGCTGTTATATCTTCCTAGTAGTTGGTTACAACTTTAATATTGTAAAGAAACTTGGGATACATCACCTCAAAAGCTAGCTCAAAAGGTGGGAGTGCCCAAGGCTTTATAAACTCCACATTGGTTGCTCATACAACCAATGTGGGACTATATATCTCAACACGCCCCCTCACACGAAAGCCCATTGGGCTTGAAGAGTGGATGATGCAACAGGCCCAGCCTACCTGTGCTAAGAAATTTCACAAGAGAAAGTGGGGGCGGTGAGGTTTGAATCCGGAACACGAGGCTCTGATACCATGTAAAGAACCTTGGGATACACCACCCCAAAAGTTAACTCAAAGGGTGGGAGTGCCCAAGGCCTTATAAACTCCACATTAAGCTTTTGGGTTGAATTGGTTCTTTACATGGTATCAGAGCCTCGGTGTACCGGGTTCGATCCTCACCGCCTCCCACTTTCTTTCTAGTGAAATTTCTTTCTTCGCACAAGTAGGTGGTACTGTGCATTGTCCACCCTTCAAGCCCAGTGGGCTCTCGTATGGGGGCGTGTTGAGATATATAAAACTATTAATGTAGCTTCACCCAACAGCTTAAACTTTTAGGTTGAATTGGTTCTTTACAAATATGAAAGAAGAGATGATGTTTAGAACTAAAGGCTTTATAAGAGGGCGATCACTATTTATATGACTAAAAACAAAAATATTGCTCCAAAATTAAAGGTTTGTATGACTTTGAGGGGGCGATCGTCCACCCTAACCCCTCCCCTGCTGCACCATTAGGCTAATATCAATTATTGTGTGACTCTACCCCATGCAGGCCAGTATGTAAATACTGTAATTCTAACTGGAAATGGAAAAAAAATGATAGAGCAGAAACATGCATGCATCCCACCTATCCTTGTCTCAGTAGATCAACAAAAAAATGCATGTCATGACTATGTTTTACTTATGTCTATGCATGAAAGAATTAATAAACAGAAAAGAGCAAATAATATACTAACATTTAGAAATGGCTGTAGAAGACTTTGGATCAAAACCAATGATCAAAGTGAGCATAGGGACAAAAATTCCACCACCGCCTACCCCGCCAACACTTCCCAAAGCTGCTCCAAAAAATCCAACGATTGATCCTACTGTAATTCTCCAACCAAACTTCATTTCCTGCTCAAGCAACCAGTACAATGCATTTCAGAGTAACATACCAATATAATACAAGAAACAAATAACCAAAGTACCAAAAGGTTACTCAAAATATGCAAAAGTGTTTGATAAACTCACAGGCCAAACACGTTCATAGGAAGACTGTCCACTCTGCCAGAAGAAATCAACTACTCTAATTATAACTCCTCCTCTTTCTTTTACAACAATTTTTTCTGATTTTTGGTCTTTCAAAACTCTTTCTGCTAAAGTAACGTTGTAGATCATAATAAGGCTCCACGTGACCACCCATATTGCTGTTGCTGCTGCTCTTGAAGTCTTCTTTTTCACTTCTACAGCCATGTGTGGATGGTGTGAAGCCAGAGGTAGGAATCTAGTTCAAAATGATATAAGACATATGCTATATATGCCACCCTTTCACTCCTTTTTTTTTCTCTGCTTATTGTTTTATGTTGGTTCTACAAGTATATGGTTGAGGGAGGAAACTATGAAAAGTAAGGACTCTTCAATACCACCATGGTTTCTATATAACAAAGGCACAATTTCTCTCTCCCTTTTTCAGGTTGCGTGAATAAAACTTATTTATTTCGTAAATGGAATCCAAGATAAGTTTTCTTGGTTCTTAGTGTCTATTTTGACACCTTATTGCCTCATTCATTCCTATTTACAAACCCCGAGCTTTTATTATATTTTTAACAGATTCCCTTCACAGTAATTTACCGATTTGTATGTACTCGTATTAAATGAGCAGTTATTGGAAAAGCATTAGTAATTTTGTTTTTCACCCATGCAAATCGTAGTTCTTTTTGTTATCACTTTTGGTTCATTCGAAGGCCCCAGACCTCTGACTGTGAAGGGGGATCGGTTAACAGTAATGGTTGATAGATATTCAACATTTTTCTCTTTCTAATTTTTTATAGAGTTAGGATATTTTGACTACCAATTTTTTCTACTACCACTTTAATCACCTTTGGATTGGAGAAAAAGTTGAATGAAGAAAGAGAAAATAAAAATAACTTTTAATCTAATGGTGATTAAAATGGTAGTGGTAGTAAAAAAAATTAGTAGTCAAAATATCCTACTTCTTTTTTATATCCTTGAATAAGTATACTTAAAAAAGATTACATGTCTTTATACCACTATTTTTGTTCGTCTACGCGCATTTCACATTATTTTATATATATATATATATAGCTTATCTCTCAATCTGTGCTTGAAATAATCTTATCTTCGGCTACTAAATCGTAACTGTACAAAGATGGATCTCAATTGTGATAAAGGAAGAGAGAGAAAAAGTGAATCATAACCATTCAAAGGTGAATCAATTAATATAAAGATATAAATAAATAAAACGACGTAGTTTTGGGTAGCCGGAGATAAACTTATCTCAAGCTGTTTCAGAAATATTGTTTCCATATATATATATATATATATATATATATATATATATATATAAGGTAGGATATTTTCACACCGGTGTCAAATTTCAATTTTGACACCTCATCTCAGAGCCGTTAAATCAAAAAAGATCAATGACTCTGATTTGCAAGCATGTGACACCATTGATCTTTTTTTATCTAACGGCTCTCAGATGAGGTGTCAAAATTAAAATTTGACACCGGTGTCAAAGGATCCTACTTATATATATATATGGGAGAAATCGTTTGACTCCAGAGTAAGACTTATAACTCTTACTCTTCATCTCATCCCTTGATTTTTGTCCATCCAAGGGTTATAGTCTATATAACACCGATACCGACACGGGACACGTGACACGATACGACACGACATTCCGACACGTTAATTCTAAAAAATATTAGCTTACGACACGTTAGGACACATTTTGATATTAAATAATATTTTTAATTTATGTAGTATATATTATATTTAATATTCAATAATTTAACAAAAAATGAATCTAAACTTATAATATTCATAAATTTTGCAAAGAAACATAAAATATCCCAAATATTTATATTAAACTCAATAAAATGGTAATCGTAATCCAACGAATCTAATAGTTGGAACTAAAAACTCAACGCAACGTAATCTTTTAACTTTTTTTGAATTTCTATAACGCGTGTCGGAGTGTCGGAGAGTGTCGGAGTGTCCGAGAGTGTCGGGAATTGTCGGACACGATACGTCAGGATTTTTGAAGTGTCGGTGCTTCATAGGTTATAGTTTAGAAAGTTATATTAATTAATTAATTAATTGTTAATTACATTATAAATGACAACCGTTGATTTTCATCCATCAATGACTAAGATGAGGAGTAAGATTTAAAATTCTTACTCTAGAGTCAAAAGAACCCTCCCCATATATATATATATATATACAGGGGAGGGATCTTTTGACTCTAGAGTAAGACTTACAGCTCTTACTCCTCATCTCAACCGTTGATTTCCGTCCATCTAACGGTTATCTTAACAATTAATTAATTATTTATTTCAAATAAATAATAACCGTTAGATGGACGGAAATCAACGGTTGAAATGAGAAGTAAGAGTTGTAAGTCTTACTCTAGAGTCAAAAGATCCCTCCCCATATATATATATATATATATATATATATATATATAGAGTAAATACTTTTTTTAGTCCTTGGCAATATCCACGAAGCCCTTTTAAGTCCCTAGCAATAAAAAAGGGACAAATTGGTCCCTGAAATAACAAAAAAGAGGTCACGTTCATCCTTCTGTTAACTCTCACCTAACGGCCCAACTAACGGTGCACAGTTGGCACGTTAGTTTGCTGACGCGGCTTGAATGTGGGACACCGTGGAAGACGAGACGACGACGTTTTAGTCCCTGTCAAAACCACGAGGGCCATTTTGGTCCCTGTAAAAATGCACGAGGACGTTTTTAGTCCCTCACAAAAAGCACGGGGCCCTTATTGGTCCCTAACCAGAGAAAAATAGGCACATGACTTCATTGCTTTTCTATGCAGTCCAATTTTGCAAAACAGAAGTGCATTACATCAGAAACAGGAGTGCAATCCAATTTTGCAAAACAGGAACATGACATTAAATTGGATTTGTATGCAGTCCAATTTGTTAAACCAAAAGACATGGATGTACAAGAACTACAACTATGTATATTAGTTAAAAAATATCAAAAATGGTAAACTTAAACATTCATCAACCCTGTGAAACATAATAGCTGGAACATGATTTGAGTATCATTATATTTGAAGACATGGATGTACAGTAGTGCATTACAAAATAAAGCCAACTGCCAGAAATTAAAAGAAAGGCCTCTAATACAATATAGCCAGAATTTACAAAAAAAAAAAACATTGACATAATAAGCATCCAAATACATAATGGCCAGAATTTTTAAAAAAAGTCAGTCACATAATAATAAACCCTTCTTAGTTGGCTCATGCACTACTCCCATGTCATATACAGCAGCAGGTCATTTTCTTGAGGCAGGCCTTGGTGGCCTAAAACCAGGTGTGCTCATGAAGGCCAATAATCTGCTTCGTGTGCCACTGGTTGCTGCATTCATTGTTTCATTACTCAACAGCTCATTTTCCTGTTGTGGATTTGATGGAGGTGGGCTGCTTCCTCTCAAGTTGCCTTCATGTGGCTGAGAACTACCAACTGTTGCAGTCCAGTCAACTGCCATGCATTGCAATTATCAACAATCATTTACCTAGCTTCTTCTCTGATTTTTCTCTGTATTTAAATATCAACAATCATGCAATTATCTTTTATAGAAAAATAAATAGTATAATTGTAATGCTACACTACTGAAGATATTGTTCGTAAATCGCATAATGCTATGTCTTATACAGACTAAGAGAATTAAAGCAGTTCATAATATTCTAGGGATCGTAAAAGCTGTTTGCAAGAGCCAAGAATCTTTTTTAACAAAGTGGGAAGCTTAATTAGCATTGAAAAAAAAATGAATAATCGTTAATAAAGTCGAAACTTCAGTTAGAAACACAAACTTCATTGAAATAAAATGCCAAGAATGAGTATTTTACTTTGTGATGAAATTTAGTTTAATTACTTTTTGATGAACAAATGGATTGCACTCCTGTTTCTGATGTAATGCACTTCTGTTTTGCAAAATTGGACTGCATAGAAAAGCAATGAAGTCATGTGCCTATTTTTCTCTGGTTAGGGACCAATAACGGCCTCGTGCTTTTTGTCAGGGACTAAAAACGTCCTCGTGCATTTTGACAGGGACCAAAATGGCCCTCGTGGTTTTGACAGGGACCAAAACGTCATCGTCTCGTCTTCCACGGTGTCCCACATCCAAGACGCGACAGCAAACTAACGTGCCAACTGTGCACCGTTAGTTGGGCCGTTAGGTGGGAGTTAACGGAAGGATGAACGTGGCCTCTTTTTTGTTATTTCAGGGACCAATTTGTCCCTTTTTTTATTTCTAGGGACTGAAAAGGGCTTCGCGGATATTTCCAGGGATTAAAAAGGGTATTTACTCATATATATATATATATATATGGAAAAATATTTCTACGGCCATTTTAGATAAGGTTATGTACAACTACTTTTTTAGTAAGTATGACTGGATCCACTGGCGGACCCAGCCATGGGCAAATGTCCGCAAGTGCCCACATAAAATTTTGGATTTTAAATTTTATTTTTTTTAGCTTTGTAGGTATTTATTTGTATGTTGATTCAATATTTATATTAGGAGTAAATATCATTTTAAGTTTCTAATAAAAAACATGGTCCCCACTTTAGTCTCTTATCAAAAATTAGTCTCGAGGTCCCTACGAAATTCAAAGTGAATCAATTTAGTTAAAATCGTGGTTCCTCACTAATTCAAAAAAGACCTACATTAGTTACTCAAAAAGACTAAAATGAGTCCACTTTAAATTTCATAAGGACCAGGTAACTATTTTTTTTTATAATAGACTAAAGTGAGTACCGAATTTTTTGTTGGAGACCAAAAATGATATTTATTCTTATATTAGTTAGCAACGTACGGAGATGATTAAAATAACGTAGCAACGCTCTCTTCCTCCCCTACCATGTACCCATTCTCACGCTCTCTTCATCTCCTTTGTTTCCTTTCTATACAAGGTCTTCACTGTGATTTTGCTTGTCTTCTGTACAAATAGTGTTGACTTTTTTATTCACCACTATAAAATAGAATAGAATGATGATGTATGGATGTATTAAGTATATTTTCATATTTGTTTTGGAGGATTGGTAAGATTTAAGAGAAAAAATGATGGGTCAAAATATTGCTTGCAGCTTGTTATGGAAGCAACTAGATTATGAGCGAGTTGAAGCGTTAACTTAAACTTTTTTTACAAAAAAAAATTCGGGAGCACTCGCCACTAAATGTGCGGACATAAACAAATTTTTCTAGGTCCGCCACTGACCGGATCATACTTAGTTATAACAATAAAGCTGTGTTCTTTTTTCTCTTTCATCACACTGTCGGCTGACGTGGCAGAGAGAGGAAATGCAATTTTAATGTATGACCAATCATATTTAGTTTAAAAGAATAGTTGTAGACAATCTTATCGAAAGTCACTGTACAAATATTTTCCATTGAGACCCTCCGGTACTCGAATCGGAAGGATATTTGAGATCCAGCGGATGAACCAGGATACTTAGAATCAGACTCACCGGTTGACAAAAAAGACAACTCACAACAACCTAGTAATTTCAAGATCTATCGCGAGGAACAAGCCAAAACTTTAGGAAGCTTCACGGAAGAAGCATTAAACATTTTGAAGCGATGTATGGTTTCAAGCTTTCATTCGAAGAGATAGCTGTGCGTCCTTGCTAATCCGATACAACAGCAAAGCTATGAAGCTTCATGGTAATTTCATTTGTTTTTGGCTTAATCACCCGCATTGGCCAACATTAGCAGAAACAAGAATAAGCTTGCAGTACCTCTCTCTCTCTCCTCTCTCTACGTTTTTTTTTGGAACGAGGGGGGGGGGGGGGGGGGGTTCCTTTTTACAGGTTTTCACGAGGCCGCAAAGGTCAAGTTCCTGATTGCATTTGCTTTCATACGCAATGTGCTTGGAGTGCCTAGCTTCTACGAAATATCTGCACTTTTAAAATCTTGACATGGTGTCCGACACTCCTGTTACATTGTATTTTTAGTTTCAATTATTAAATTGGTTGAATTACAATTAATGGATATTATAAATTTTATTTTATTTTATTTTTAAATTATTAAATATAACCTATATTACATAAATTAAAAATATTATTTAATATCAAAACGTGTTCTAATGTGTCAAAATCTAACATTTTTTAAAATTAACGTATCGGAATGTCATATCGTGTCTAGTGTCAGTATTAGTGTTACATAATCTACGGTCACTGCAAAATAGAACAAAAAGAAACCCCAAATATAAAATATATTTTTTTCACTTATTTTCTTGGTAAACTGGTAAAGACCGACAGACCCTAGGCTGAAATTGAAAATAGTAAAGTGTCTGCATGCAAACCTATCCATGGATCAACCTGACATTGGCTTGCAAATTCTCTATCGCACAGTATTGCTTACACACTGATGGAAAGAGAAATGGAGGTAGCTATAAAAAATTTCACTGCGAAAACAACTCGTTTTTTTGCGAATAATTTAACAAGATCCTCAACATATTTTTATAAATAATAGTTTTCAAAGTCTTACCATGTCGCAGAGGTGTACATCAAAACACATGGTTCTATCCGCAGGGGGAAAAATCAAAATGGTCGAACACTAGCTTTACAGTTTCCCCTTAACGAATATGTTTTGAGACTAAGGGGGCGTTTGGTTGAAGAAATTTTTTATGAATGATAGGGAAATGATATTCATAGGAAAATGATAAGAAAGTGAATTTGGTAGAAAAATATAAAAAATAGTTGTTTGGTAGGAAAAAATTTAACCGGAAAATTTAGGTAACTTTTCTAAAGTTTATGTTTGGTTGTAGGTAAAATATAGATAGAAAAAAAAAAAAAAAAAAAACCAACCAACAAAATCCCAAATAGCTATGCAAATGGGAGAATACCACATCTAAAGTGAGAATATTTGTCCATCAATTTTGATTCAAATAGCCATGCAAATGGGATATCTAGCAAACTCATTTAGGTGGGCAAATTTGAAAACTTGTCAACCAAACATGGGCACCCAATTTCCCCACTTCACATTTCCCTATCATTCTCCTCAAAAACTTTCAACCAAACACCCCCTAAGAGTAAATCTTGATTTATTTCTTTTGGGTAGATTATTAAATCTTGATTTGAATCTCTTTAAAATTACGGTTTCCCAGTGAACATTTTTCTGTATCTATCGGTGTCGTAAATCAATTAAATGTTGAGGTTTCACTCAAAGATGAACTGATAATCTATATAACATGTCAAACACTTAACGGACATATAATGGCGATAAAGACCAATATTGATCAATTTGAAAAAATAGAAGACATAAACCAAAACTCAAATTTTAAAAGACTAAACCAAAATTTAATATATTTATGATAAATGTTTTTCTCATGTTGCATAGATAATTTGTCTCATTCAACACAAAAAAATGAATGGAATCCACTAAAATGAGGAAAGAGAAATAAAAAGTGAATCTCACTCACTTTTTTGTGTTACATGAGACAATGTTTCATGCAACATGAGAAAAACATTTCCCTATATTTATATGGACCCAAAACATACTATAGCCTTTTTCCTTTCCAGCACCTCCCACCAACGCACCGATTCTTATGGACTGAGGCAGACTTTGAATTAAAAATACATCATGCTTTTAAGCAAGGATAACACTACCAGATATCCATCTCAGAACAAATATCAAATAAAATTGCAAATTGCTGGGAAATCAGCAAGCCAAAAATTGGTACCTACGCAAACGCAGGAATCGTGCGGCAAATCTTGAAATTTTTAGTTGGTAACTCGATCAATTATTTTGTTTTCTCATTTTCAAGTTAAAGCAAATAAACAGTCCGCGTATAATTAATAACTAATAACTGGAACATAAACCATGACTACTCAACGTCTAATAGACGCAAGGGCTCTCTAGTCTGCTGACACTAATGTTGCAACACACAATAAACTCAAATGTAGTTCCAAGCACATCAACAGACCAACAATAACTTAAAATCCAAACAAATGTTCCCACAAAAGCTGAAAAAAGAAAAATTTGTTTCTTAAAATGTCTCGAGAAAACAAAATCTACAATAAGTACCAATATTAGCAGTCCACGTCCTTATTGAGAAACTGAGTACACCAAAGCTGCAGCGGTAACACTTTCAAAACCAACATGAAAATCAACAAGTAAAAATGGATAGCAGCAGCAATAAGTTCTTTCGTTGAGCTTTGATCAGTCACTCCATGCCTGAATCCATTAATAGCTACTAAGAACCAATCGAGAAATTATAGCCAGATTTATACCAAGAATTAACCATAACCTAACAGAATACTGAAATATAAACCAATAACCTTACCGGTAAAGTTGAGAAGTATTATGCTGAAATTACTAGTAATCATACTCCCGAGAATGGGGCCTCTTTGAGTGATGATAATCACGGTCCATATCACGATTTTTCTCCTTTTCACGTGATTCAGACGTTGCCCGTTCAGTGTGGTAGTCATCTTCCATCCTATCATGATCAGGATATTGATTGTAATGCTCCCCGTGTTCATCTCCATCATCATACTGTCCCCGTCCTTGTCCTCGATGATGCTCATAGTGATCAGGATCATGGTCAAGATCTGCATGCCTATGTCCATGCACGGGTTGGTTGTACCACCCTCGATCATCCTCAGGTTCAAGGTCACGCTCTCTTTCACCATGATGTTCCTTCTCATTTTTAGATTCAACATGATCATAATCAGTCTCCCTATCATGTGAGTGTCCCCGATCAGTCTCCCCAACTTCATAATCCCTATCCCTTTCACGATAACGATCATGTTCCCGGTCTCGGTCCCGATCCCTATCTCGATCACGATCACGATCCCTCTCCTTCTCCCGACCACGATCACGTGCTCTGTCTCGATCACGTCCCCGATCTCTCTCTCTTTCCCTATTCCTATCCCTGTCTCTGTGGTGCCTGTCCTCTCTATGATCACGATCCCTGACCCTATCACTAGAGCGTTCACGTGACAGCTCTTGTTCTCTATCTCTGTCCTTACCTCTTTCACGGGACTTTTCTCTGTCCCTAAAATGAACTCAGCCAATAGCAGTCAAAGTAAATGACTTATAAAACATTAGATGAAGGAACTTTGTTTTACATCCTCAATTTCATAAAGATTAATGCAGGGAAATCTTAGTCCCCTCTATTGTCAATAAATTATTGTATGATCAGCAGCCATTTTTTGAGTACCAGAATCAATTAACTAGTTCAAATTGAAGCAGAAACATATTGAAATTCTTACCGATCACCATGTCGATCCTCCCGCACTCTGGGTTCTTCAGAACGAGAAGGTCCTGACTGCTGTTGCTCCCTGAATAATTAAGGCATGTCAAAATTCCCCTTCAGTAAGAACAGAGGAAGCATCCAACAAATCATCCAGACAGATTCAACAAGACTAGGTAAGGTAATTTGTAATCTAGGCCTCTAAGGTGCTCATAAGTCGCAACAATCAGTGTGATGCAAGTTGAGCAGACCAATTCAACAATCAACAAGAAATTTTAAATGCGAATTAGTCCATGATGCAAAAAAGATTCTTATTTCTGAGAGAGTTTTTACTTCTATGGATGGTTAAGGTGGGGAGAGGGTAGGTGTAAGATTTATCCAAAAGATGAGCATAACATTTAGCCAAAGGTCCAATTTCCATAAGGATGTTGAGAAAAGTTCACAGATTTCCATACTACAGAAGAATCATAGAATCCCTGGGTCCACCAGTGAGGATTTTATTGTAGCAAATATCTCCATCAAATACAACACCTATAAATTTATACCTAAAAAGATATGAAGCACCTCATACCTATTATAGAATAATGTCATAACAATTAACATTGTTTTCACTTTAATTTCTATTCTACTTAAGGCTATTTAGAAAAGCTCATGGGTTTGCACTAAGCAATAAATGAAGTTCTATTAAAAAAAAAAATTGCATTTAGAGCATTTACCTCCCAGAATGTCGCTGATTAACTTCTTCACCCCCCACTCTAGTAGTACCAAGCCCACCACCTAGTCGACGAGGTCGCCAATTAGGAACAGTCCTCCCACGTTCAACATCCACGAGCACCCTTCTACCCTCAATTTTCCGACCATCAGCTTGTTTATAAGCAGCTGCATAATTAACAGCAAAAAAACAAGTGACTAAAAAGTTGTACATAAAGTAATAACCAGAAAAATCACATTAAACCACTACAAACCTTTCATGTCTCTTGTGTGCAGGTATTCAATGAATGCATAACCCTTGGGCTTATTTGTCACACTGTCGGTAACCAATCGAACCTAAATCAAAGTTATTAGAAAGAGAAAGAATAGTCAGAAGAGAACATTCTGGTCTTCATCTCTATAGAAAATTATATAAAAGATGCCCTCTCACCTCAGAATCATTAAAACACAATCAAAATAAAATACTAATACTATAATCCTAAATGGCACGGCAGACAGGCACTATGCCTAATTAGCCGTGCTCACCTTTAAATCACACAGCTCCCATCGCGAGATGCATCACCACCAGCAAAAGTTGCAGAAAAACTGATGTATTTGGGCCCAATTAACCAGATGTTGACTAGCGCCCCCTTACCAGGGATTGTTTTTTAATTGATAAAATGAAAACAACTATGGGTAATATAGAAAATACCATGACATAGAAAATACCATGACATCTTCTCAACGGCTGATTTGGTTTTGATAGCCTTTAAAGCCAAAAATAAATTTTTAGCAACAGCAAAAGTAGGCTAACTAAGAATTCAAACAGAAGAGGAAGAGATTGCAATACTCCCGACATATTTTACCCAGTGCAGGAAAAGAACAGAAGTTGTCAGTCTCCTTTTCTTGCTTGGAAACAAGGCCAAAGGCACAATTTCGCATCATTGCTCTGCTCAACTAAAATACCATGCAGGAGGAAGCACTTGAATGGGAATCGAGTTTGATTGAAATTTGAGAATCATTTACCATTTGCAGTATAAGATGATCAACCATTACAAGGGATGTGTATTGAGATGCTATACTTGCTACTAAAATAATTCCTAGAGAACCACAGCCCCAAGATCTCCTATCCACGTAAAATTACAGCGAAACCAAGTTGAAATTAACTAAAGAGACCAATAATTAAAAAGTCATCAACAATAAATTGGTGGCACGACACAACCAAATGCAGTTGTAACCATTTCAAAGCCACTCAACAATGACAAATTATATCAGGAAGATGTATAATTTATACCCTTGAACCTTTGGACACAGTGTGATAAAAAATATGCATAACTGACTAACTTCACAACAAGCTTTACTGCTTTGATCATGAGAACAACTTAAATTACAAGAAGCAGTTTATTCAGCCACTGAAGAAAAAAGGTTAAAAAATGTCTATATTATTGAATAATAAGCTAGTATTTTGTTCTTCATAATTAATATATGAAAATAGAAATTATAGAATTTGAAAATATATTTTGAAGGTTCATAGCTTGTCAAGATGTCAAATAGAAGTAAAATACAAGAAATTTAGAACCTAACATATATGATACTCTTACCGAACCCCTTTGGGGATATTCAAAATACCTACCCGTTTGATTGCACCATATGACTCAAACTCCCTTTTGATTCGGCTCTCAGTGGTCTCATAGCTCTGTTAAAATATAGGAACCATTGAGATATAACAAGCAATATACTACTCAAATGTGCCACACAGATACGGTATTGAAAAATATAACTTACAAGTCTGGCCACAAACAATGTCTTGTATGGATCTCCTGATATATTTGGGTCATTCTGTGGATCATCTACATTGAAGCAGATATAAAAATAGCACTCAGAACACAAATCCATAAAAATTAACAAAGCCACAAAAAATATAGGAGTCATCACATTTCTCAAGCTCCTCAGCAGCCTTCGCTGCTCCCTTCTCTAGTCTTAACTTGTGAATTCTTGCTCTTTTTTGTGTCTGAGTTCACCAAAAAGAATCAACATCATACACATATAATAAAACTCTCTACTTTTTGGTGCAAGGGATATGACATTTAAACTACTTTACAACTTTTATTAGCTACATATTAGCTCTATGAAAAGGAATAGATATTCAGTAAATAGCAGTTACGTCAGTCCACTAAACATTATAACAATCACTTGTTTATATAAATTTAAAAACAAACTGAAAAGAACCGAACATTACAGGAGTTTCAGCAACTGGTACAGGAGGAGCATATTCAGGATCACCAGGCTCAGCAAACTTACTCACGAATTGCCCCATCCCTTGAAAAAAGAAAGGCATATATGCATATATATAATCAATAATCATCATTAATCAATAATAATAATAATAATAAGAGCATAAAATCAATGCGAATCCGAACAGAAACAATCATAAAAAACCTGTTAGTGGTGGACATTTTCTTTTCTCGGGAGGTGGCTTATACTCCAATGGAGGCCTAGGCTCAAATAGCTTCAACAGGTTCGCTGTAAGACCAGTAGGGTGACTCTGTCCAATCTGCATCACATCACAGATAAATGAAATTATCAGTAAAAAGAAACTACCAAGCTTTCGGAACAGAGAAAATCACACCATAACATTGTCGCGAATAGAATCTACGATCTAGGGTTACGAGCAGAGACTATTGATAAACCCTAACTATGGTAAAAAAAAATAAAAAAAATGTTGATATAAATAAAAAAAAATAGGGCAAGTGAATAGTGGAATCAATAGTAAAGGGAGTGAATCTGGATTCGAGAGGAACCAGCTTGAGCTGAAGGACGTTGGCGCGATTCTGAGCTTTGGTGCGGGCCTGAACTGCGGCGTTTTGGTTGCGCATGAGAGGATCGTTGTTGAAGTCTCCCATGGCTAACAGATTTTAAGAGAATCAAAATGAAAACGAAGGGATTGAGTCTAACAAACAAGATCCGATTTGTGTCCGAGCTATATAGTAGCGCTCGCGGGTTGTCTAATGCCACTGCTAGGTATTTATATTGAAACGATCGTATGTGACTTTCAAGCTCTGGGAAACATTTTCTGGGTCCATTCGGGGAATAAGGCATTGTTTGGTGGTTTAATTATAATTTAGATATGTAAATATAAAATATGAAAAAAAAAAATTACTATTTAGAAGTTGTTATGGAAAAAGTTGGGAATTTGAGTGATAGGCTTTTTTTTTCTTCAAAAGCTTTTTTGTTTTAAGAAAAAAAAATACTTCTAAAAAAAAATCTTTTTGGATGCCTGCTTTTTTAGGAAGCTAAAAATTTTTGCTTCTCAAAAAAGCAAAAGTCAAAAGCTAAATATTTTTTTCAAAAATAAAATATTTTTTAAAAAATCTAAATAGCCGCAGCCGCAGCTTTTATAAAAAGTACTTTTAAAATAAGAAAGTCATAAAAAAAACTTTTTTGATAAGTCAATGCAAACCGACTCTTTGTAGGAGAGAGAAAAACAAGTAAAATTAGATATGAAGTAATTCAAGGAAAGATAAGAAAATCGGTCCATAAAAATGTCCTAATTCATTATCATGATGATATATATATATATATATATATATATATATGGGAAAATGTATTTTCATGTGACAGAAAAAAATTTGTTATCTTCTATATACATAACTTCAAGTGGGACCCAATAGAAAAGAAAAGAAAAAAAAAGAAATAGCACATGTTTCGATGTATGAGTAGAAGATAGGAAAATTTTTCAGTTGCAGAAGACTAGCATTGCCCTATATATATATATATATATATATATATATATATATATATATATATATATATATATATATATGAGATATGTTATTTTACCTATCATTTTTTTTTTGCCTACTTTTACCTATCACTCTCCAACATCGTTAGATCATAATCTCAAAAGGAGTTTGCCTACTTTTGCCTATCACTCTCCAACATCGTTATCAGAATCTCAATAGGAGAGAGAAATTATACATGTAGTTGAGATTCTGATCTAACGGGTGTTGAAGAGTGATAGGCAAAGATAAGCAGAAAAAATGGTAGGTAGAATAACATCTCCACATATATATATATATATATATATATATATATATATATATATATATATATATATATAGGGATAAATATGAATTATGTTGTAGGTATATATAACACCTCGCATTTTTAAATTAAATATTAAAATATGGATTAAAGGGCAGAATTAGTGAAAAGCATGAATTCATGACCAAAACACCTAATCTTAGTCTGTGAGATGATAAAATTACGTTTGATTTGATGAAACTAATGATGAAAATGGATTCAGAACGAAATTTGGAGTGGATAGACACTTTTGAAAAAAAAATAGATGAATAGTGGTTGTTCATGGAGTGGGAACGACATTCAACAGGACGTTCCCATGGTGGGAACAATATTCAGTAGGTTGTTCTCAAAGGGGGAACGACGTTCCTAGGTTAGGATCGTCATATAGTTATTTTTGGGAGAAAAACGTAGTTTGGAAAAAGTTATCAGAAATCCAAAAATAATATTGAGGGTAGTTATTAAATCACTTTGGTGAATGTTAAAATGATGATTTGATGATTAGAACATAAATTAATTGGATGATTTAAGAGTTAATTGAAGATTAATGGTGTGTTTGAGTGAGTTTAAATGAGGTGGCACTTGTGGGGCCTACCTCACTTAAGTGGAATATTAGGGCCCATGATAAATAGTGAGAGTGCATCATATTCCTCACTTTCTCCTTCAAAACCCGCAGCGCCCTTCCACCATTGAAGAAAATAGTTAAAATTTGAGAAATTCATAACTCAAGCTACACTCAACGAAATCGAACGATTCCAAAGCCAAACTTGATTAAAATCTCGAGAGGAACACATTGCTAACCTTATTTTCAAGTGGGGAGTACTGTGTGAAGAGATCCTTCCTTAAGAAAGTGACATTTTTGAAGCTTTGGTGGGCCATTGGAGGCGGCTTGACTTGCTTTGATGCTTGAAAACACATCTTAGGAGTCCTTGGAGATCAATTGTGGTAAGTACCCCAACTCTTGACTTGATTTGATAATGGATTGAAAATGGGTATAAATCTTGAATATGCGTGAGTTGATTGAAATAGTTGGAGGCATGTAATGGTAGTGTCCCTTTGGAATTTAATGCTCACAATGGTGAATGATGATGATTGAACCAATAAAGATTATTATGATAAAGTTTGGTAACTTAGACAAATTTTGATGGATGAACTAGGAGTTCTTGTAAAACAAGGTGTTGAGGAACGGTGTAAATGAGTTATGGATGTCTTGAATCATTAATAATAAGGTAAAATGAGTGTATAATGCATATGAATTGAGTGGAAAACCTTGTCCCCTTGATATGTATTTTCGGCTTAGAGGGAACGATTAGGGGAACGTGATGCTAAGTGATAATGTAAAGTAAATGAGAATTGTATTGGGGTTAAGAAAGGTTGTGTAACCATGAAGTTGATTAAGTGTGATTGAAACACATTGGGTAACAATTTAGGCCTTGTGACCGAACGTATAGTGTGATGGTTGGAAGCTTTGAAAAGCAATGGAAAAATAATGGAGTGTATTGAATTGTGTATTGTCCCTAGAAGGAAATAATTGGGCAAAATGAGGTTAGGATGATATAAAATGAAAAGTGGCACCTAATATGGCATTTTGGTAACCTAAGGATGCCTATTAAAATGAGAAGAAAATTTAGAAAAATAAATCTAAAAAATACACATGTTTGGTCGAACCTACAAGGGTGTAGGGGGGTTTTGACGTTTTTCGCGTTTTGATAGAATTGTCGTGTACTGACGATTCGTACATGGTTATTGTAGGTTGTCGTACGTCGATTGAACCCCGAACATTGAGTCAGTGGATTGCCCTTGGTCCTGGACCAAGTGGGAGTGAGGTAAATGATTGGAATCATGTTGTATAATTGATAATTGCATGTATTCATACGAGTTTTAAGTAATTGAGAATGTCCTCTGTGTAGGCATTCTATTGAGTAGTGAGCTCGGAGAGTATATTCTGTGGAGCTAAGTGAAGAGGCTCATTGAGGTAACCTCTTGGTACTGGGGCTTGATCCCCTTGTGTGTTCCACCATGCCCGTTGAGGGTGATGGTAGGAAACGTATATGAGTAATATAGAATTACATGTGCATGCATTGAGTATTTATGAGGGTACATATGTACCGAGTCTCTGGCCAATAGACAGTTTTTGCCTTCGGACATTTCGGACTTCCACTGGATAGGTCTCCGAGAGGGAGTTCCAGTTGACCCAGGGACGTGGTGTGTGATCCGGATATGAGCACACTAGGAAGTCTCAGGTGTATGCGGATGGGAGGGGTACCTTGGTTAGTGGTTCTTGGAACACGCCTTGGATGAGACCCGTAGGCTTATATGCCAAGCCATTAGGCAGGGCGTTGCGTGGTATTGGTAGCTATCATTCCAGCTTCGTCGTATTTTGTATTCCTATATTCTCCAGTTTCTCTAAATCCCTTGTTTTATCCCGTTTTGAAAAGAGGTTATTTTATATTATTTATAGCATCGAAGTGAGCCATTGGGCGAAGTTTTCTCCAGAACCTCTGGGTTACTGAGATATATTCGTATATCTCACCCCGTCTTGGGAGCTTTATTTCAGGAGGTAGCAGTGGTACGGGAGGGGCGGGCAAGAAGCCCGTAGGATGAGTCATTGGATGACTTGCACTTTTTACATTTTGATGGCCATTTGGCCTAGGCTAAACTTAGGGCATGAACATTCCATATGTATGTAGGATGAGTTTCATAGTCATATTTGTTCATGTCATTTTGTCTTAGTCTAGTTAGTTGTATACGTCATTTGAAGTTCATGTTTCAAGTTGTAAATTAAAGTTCATGTTTCAAGTTGTAATTTAAAGTCAGGGAATCGTAAGTTGTAATATGTTGCAATTGCACTTGGATACTTAATGTAATATGATGGAAGGGCTTTAGGCCTATTTTAGGATTATGGATATGTGAATGCCTAGAAAATGCATGTAAATGGACTTGGATGATTGAAACGTATTAAGCATTAATCAAGTGAGCAGTATGATATAGATTGTGTAATAACTATAAACTGAGTTGGGTTGTAACTGCCCCAAGACATTGTTGGTTCTTGTGTGTGCCACCCATTGGTTATTAGGTACATTTGAGGCCTTAGATCACATTTGCAAATTGGAGATTTTTGTAAAAACAAAGGAAACTCTGGCGAAATTTCTGTAGAATTGGCTGAATTTAGGCGAACTTTAGAAGAGCATATCTCCCTCCACAGAGGTCCGATAGGGACGTTCCATACGTCATTTTAAATCTTGAGATGTCCTCTACATTTTGCTAAAATATGAAGAATTTCTGGGTTGCACGCAGCTCTGTAGAAACCTGTGAACACGCATTGTCCAGAATGCACCTATGCAGGGGCTGTTTCTGGCAGTTTTTCAGAATTTTATTCCTGCTTCATTTCTCGGTCAAATTAAGTGTATGATATGTCAAATCGAAGCTTGAGGTGTCTAGTATATGGTATAAAAATTTGAGAGCAATTGAGTGAGTGGTTTTTCTGCAGTAATTTGTGGAGTGAATGATGTTTGGAGCTATCTTGGGGTTGGTTGGCAGTTTTGCTTGTCCAACTTCAAACGGCGATATCTGGAGCAAACGAGATCGAAATGACTCGTGTGATGGTTCATTGGAAAGGTATTTAAGTAAGGAAAAAAGATAGCTAAATAGGAAGGACTGGTTTTGTGCGGTGTGTCCGTAGAAAAATAATAACCGAACCATGTTTGGATGAGTGGAAAACGTAAAATCGAGAAATTAGCTAAGTGGGTTTATGGAAACCCCTTAGTGACTTGTAGTAACTAAAATAAGTTATAAAAATAGTTTAAAAAATTATTCCGCAAGAGTTTACAGTTATGGTCACAGCTATTAATTATTACGTTTTTTATTGTTTTAAATACTCGCGTATTAACGGAAAAAAATTATTTGCATTATTATAAATGAATTGCTGTGATTGTAACTGCGCTTAATA